TTATCAATAATGTGACTGCTGGTGAATTTTCTGATGCAGCCTCTTCATTGTAGTATGAGGAGACTGATAATATCTAGTTTGATTTTGTGGAGAGTTTTTAAAATAGAGTTACAATTGCAAATAAAGGAAATCAGTGGATGTTTTTTCAAAGCCCCTGCTGCTTTTGTGATGAGTGATAATTGGCATTTTTTAGTTCGCCTTTGTTAAGTACATGGACACAAAGCCCTCTGCAGTCATTTTCACCTTAGGGAGTGTTGCAAGTGATAATTGGCTTGTGACAACTGTCACTGTAGAGGTTGCTTTAATTTTAGTATAATCAGAGGTCCTTTAGTCTTTGCACTTGTAAAGTAATGTTAATAGCAGGGTGTGTGTGTCCATGTATAATGACAGACACACACACTTTATTATTCAACGGACCACTCTCTATGAAATAGTTATGGTATTGTTTATGTCGCCTGCAATTAAAATTAATTGTGCTGTCTTGTTATATACTTAAAACAAAAACAAGTCTCCAAAATGACATCGGGTCTGTTATTAAATATGTGGCTAAAATGTCGAACGCGCAAGACTGAGATGATTATTCCGTGGAAGGTGACCAACCTTTTTGAAACGCATTAATATAACACATTAATACATTACGTCTCCAGTTGATTCACACCGTCTTTCATGCTGCTTCATTAAACCAGGCCTCATCATCCTCAACGCCTGGTACGGCAAGTTTGTGACGGACAACAGTAGAAAACACGAGAGGGCAAAGGTCATCGATGTGACTGTGCCGCTGCAGTGTCTGGTGAAAGACTCTAAACTCATCCTCACTGAGGCCACAAAGGTAAGAATTTAACCAAAGTCGATTTTACAGGTGTAATGTTACTGCATCCCATTGATACAGCACAGGGTATTGTCCTGGTACGTAAAACATGTAAATATACAGTACACATACTGGTTATAAATGTACTTGTACAGTGTTACAAACTGCTGCATGATGATCCAGTCTGCTGCTGCCGTCACATGACCTTATGTTGGCTTTCCAGTCAGGACTCCCTGGCTTCTATGACCCATGTGTGGGGGAGGAGAAGAGCCTGAAGGTGCTGTATCAGTTCCGCGGAGTCATGCATCAAGTCCTGTCAGGAGACTCCGAACCACTCAGGATACCAAAGCAATGTAAGTCCCATGTAGCATACAGCACAAGGGACTCCCTCGTGTTGGGATCGTGTCACAGTTTTGCATCCATTAAGGCGAGACAACACGGGCAAAACATGGGTGTGTGTCAATTTTGAGAGTTTGGTCCAGGTCTTCGTTCAGACTAGTGGAAAGAAAACATCCAAATTTTATGACGGTCAGTCTATTTGTAGAGTTTTATGGACATTAAAGCATGTAAACATGTTCTAGAAACCCAAAATACAGGTCAGAACCTGGAAATGAACCTAATTTGTATCCTTTAAATTATCAATTTCAGAAAACATGTAATACAAAAACTCATCACAAATACAAAGAAATATGCAACAATTTAATGTAATTATTCAACTGGGGAAGTTTCATGATGATATCTATAAGTTATTATTTTAACCTATTCCCCTGTAGTGTAATATTTAGCTACTTCAGTGCAGGATCAATGATTTGGTAGATCATCTTGAGCTGTCTAACCCGCCCCTGTTTCACATCTCACTGACAGCAGGGGGAGCTGATTTGAACCCTAAGTCATTGTAGACCTGTGTGTGATGCAACGTTTCTCAGAATATTGTATCTCCGCTCAGAGACGCTCCTAAAGATCCACTGAGCAAGTTCTGCCAGCAGCGTTATTTCTGACTTGCCTGTGATTGTTTCCACAGCTCACCGGATTGACGCAGACACATAGGAGCTCCTCCGCTGACCAAAAAGACTCATCTCTCAGCTGGTTGACAGAAGACGGATAAAACAAAAAAACCTGTTTTAGATACGACGCGGATTAGAAGTCCTTGTTACTCAGAAATCATGCATTTCCCTTTTTTTTTTTTTTTTTTTTTTTTTTTTCTGTTCTCTTTACATTCATTTAAATATGCAGCGCGGAGTGAAAGCATCACAGACTGGACTGATCATAGTTCAGTATCCGTGGACAGGGGTTTGCGGCCTGCTTGAAAATTCTAAAGAGACACCAAAATCGATGGCTGCCATCTTATGTCCCGGGTCTTTTCGCCTCCTTGGCATCCATTTATTTTTGGTATATGGCTTGTAACTTGTGATTGAGGTCTATGTACTGTATTGTACACAAACTGCAGTGCCTACGTGATTGAATACATGAATGCACCTTTGTTTATTTGCCATATTATTAAAATCAGTCTCTCTCATGTTGCGCAACCATTTTTGGTAGTTTTTTTTGTTTTCGCATAGCTTCATAAGATGATTTGTTTTTGAGTATTTTGGTTTAATTGATTTGTCCATTTCATCAGGAAAAGAGGACGACTGAAATGTGTGAATTTGAATGTAGAGTTTAGAAAGAGAGTCCATCACTTGAACTGAGTCAACATGTCCGTTACACTGTAGGTCTCCTCCCTGTGAGCCTTTCCTGGATCTGGGTGAAATGTTAATGAATCTTCCCTCCCTTCACTTGTGTTTGTGTGGAAAGGGGAGGATTAACTGGAACCACTATAAGACCAAAGAGTGCTTAACTCCCTGTGAATAATGTGACCCTGCCTTCTCGGGAATAATAATGAGTGGATCGTGCAAAGAGGGCTGAGAGATACTGACCAAATGCTTCCTGAAACCCAAAACAACATCTCTACAGTGATGATTCTCTTGAAGTTTGACAAGTTCTTCATCGGACCAATCTATTTGTATCCGTATTTTCTCCAGGATAACTGAATAAGGTTTGACCAGAAGACCAGGATTGAAAGGATTTTAAGGCTTGAGACGGTCACAGTGATGAAAAGTGTTCATGATGACAGGATTGTAACAGTGGATGAAAGCTTCCATCAAGAAATATCTTTTTATAAGTAAGATTTCGCTTTAGGATTTATTTTTAAATTCCACCCGTGTGCATATTTTTTTTTTGCCTGCTGTATTTTTAATGTGGTTAAATCCCACAGGCTGGATCCATATATGTGAAATAGCCTAATTGTTTTTATCGCTTCAGTTCAACAACATTTTACAATACTGTAGCATTTTTAAAAAGCAAAGTTATCTGACAATGTTAATGCAGAGTTAATACAGTTAATGTTCATTTTACAAAATAGTACAATACCGACTAATGCAGCTGGTGTTGATTACAGACACGCATCACCCTGAACACACAACTCACGTGTGTCACAAACAGAACTTTGTCATAACTTTAATATCCTGAATGTGATGTTTCTCCAACTAGATGAACAACAAGCTCTTTAGATGCAACAGTCCTTTTAGTTTAGCAAATACAAGTGAAAGAATGTAAAGCTTTTTATTTGCCACACAAAAACATCAGTCAGAACCGTTTATTTGCCAAAGTATGTTGCACATACAAGGAAGTTGACATTCTTATTTTGCTCCCGTAATCTGCAGCCATTTTACATGTTGAAGGAACGTTTATTTTCTTCTTGTAAACTATGAGTACTGTATGTGCTTCAGTTTCTTTTTGAAATGTCATTTTCATAAAACTCCCAATGCCGCACCTTAAGACGTCTCTTGAGCCGATTGGTTGAACACATTACGTATTGAACTTATCTGAGTTTGTTCTTTTAAGTTCTCTGTTTATTATTCACAAGTTAATCAATTGCGCTCTTTGTCCGATCATTACGCTTGCATGTAAAGTTTTCCCAACAGTCAAAATCATTTGACTTATTTGGACACTATTATCAATCATCAGGAACAAAGTACACTGGAGACCCTCAGTTGTTAATGGTGATATACTGAACATACTATTATAGTGACAGCATGACAGATTTCAACAATAAATATGATCAGCAGCTGTTAATTAAAAAAAATACTAAGTCAATATTTGACCCACTTTCAGCTGCTGATATGTCACGTAATGCATACACAGCATTTTAAATATCCGCTTGTTTTGGATGACGTAATCCGCGTACTTCATGTCCGCCTGGGCTTCTCGCCTCCCAGGCCGGGCGCCCCCGGAGAGTAAAACGAGCGCATCCTTGATGAACTGACAGGAGCAGGAATGTGTGACGGGAAGCAAAAGTGATGTTTCTCCAACGAGATGAACAACTAGGCTCTTTAGATGCAACAGTCCTGTGTCCAACGTGCCCTGAACGTGTACATAATTCGTAATAAGAACTTTTATTTTTGTTTGATTTGATCTAAAGTTAAGTTACAGATAATTGTAGATACAAAAAAAGTCTGAATATGATTGTGTTAATTAAAGGTTCTGGTCTGGCCGTGTCCTATGCATGAAGAGAAAAGCTATGAATGAAGCTGTATGTGCGCCACTCTTCAATCTAATGCAACTTGTGCACATGACTACAGTAAAAGATAGTGTGTCTGGAGGGTACAACAACCTCTGGACACGTTATCTTATAGCACTCAGTGAAATAGATAAAAGTTAAACAATTTAAAGCTTTTTATTTGTCACACAAAACCAATATTCGTAATGGCATGCAGGGTAGATGCTAAAACACTATGTTGAATATGCGTAATATTCAGAAATAAGATGTACAAATGTACATATGTCACACATGCAAATATACAATAAAGTTTTTTACATTCTCGAGTGCAAAGCAAAGGATTCACAAAGGGCAGTGTGCTTGATTTACAGCAGTCAGATGACAGCATGGCATGAGGAAAGAAGACTATATTAATGTCTTTTTGTTGAAGCTGTGGAGTATTTTCACTGTGCGGTACTTCCTCTTAAGTGAAGGATCTGAATACTCCTTCCGCCGCTGCGTATCGCGTGCAACAGGAATTGTGGCAATTCCTAAAGACATCTGTTTAGCCCCGCCCAATTGTGACGGTTAAAACCAATCAAATCCCGCTGAGTGGGAGGGCGTAACGGTTCGATGTTAGCGGTTAGCTCCGCTGACGTCTTTAGTCTTACGTCCAGCTCGAGTGTCCAGGCGTGAATAACGAGCGCTACGTTCGTCATCCGCTCGGAATATTAATGTCTGTCGGGAATTAAAGTATGACACAGAAGACGCAGTAAAATCGAAAGTGACAGATGTGTCAGATACATCGCTAGTCATATGTTAAGTTCAGAGTTACAGGAAACATTGGAGCAGCTTTTACCTCACTTTGCCTCGAACTGCACTTCCGTGTTGTGTGTTGTCGGATATAAATGTACGTGATACTGTAGCTGTACATATATCCGTTATAGTGAGCTGTATCTTCGCTACTAGGTCGATAGTATTTCGGTATATTTGGCTGGAAAAAAAAACGTCCGGAGCCTGGGTCTGTCCCGGGAATGAAGAGGAAAGCTAAAACTATGGGTGCAACTCACAGCTCTGGTTTAGCCTCGAGCCACAGTGTGTCTTCAGCTGCAGGATCGTCCGCCTCGCTCTCACAACGAGACGTAAGTGTTTACATTCTCCCTCAACACCAAGTTACCTGCAGGCAGAGCTTCACGTGGCTGCAGCCAGTGTTTTTAACTTAAACTTGTTGCAATCTGCAATGTGCAAGTTTCCTTTAAACTGGTGAAACTTTGAATTCAGACCTTGCAGACATACACATAAGGTGAATTGAAGAGGCATAATGGACTTATTCATAACTGTCCGGTTATTTGTGGAGAGGAGGCGCAGATAGGATCTCAGCCTGAAGGATCCACTGTCATTTAAGAAGTCATTCAAAGATGTAGGCAAGACGGCAACAAAAATACTTACAAATAAGCTACAAGATAGTCTCAGAAATGAGATGATTTCATGTATATGCAGTGTGTGGGGGGGGGGGGGGGGG